TTTTTCAAATTTTCAAATTTTTGAATCTCGAGTTTCGATTTCTCGATTTGCCGATTTTCTAGTTTTTCAATTTTTATATTTTAGATTTTCGATTTTTTTTTTTATTTTTTGATGTTTGGATTTCTCCGTTTTTCAGTTTGGCATAATTTTAATTGTTTAATGTTTTAAATTTTACATTTTTCGGTGTCTCGATGTTTTAATTTTCCAGTTCTTCAGTATTTCTATTTTTCAATTTTTCAAATTTTGACGTTGCTAAATTTTCAGTTTTCCGATTTCTTAAGTAATCTATTTTTGATTTTCCCATTTCGAAACTTCTGGAAGTTTCGTTTTTCTTTATTCTTCGATTTTTCGATTGTTCCAATTTTTTTATTTCTCAATTTTTGGATATTTCTTTCAGTTTTGGGTTTTTTCACTGTTTCGATTTTTTGGATTCTCAGTTTTTCGTTTATTAAACTTTGGAATTTTCAATTTGTCGACTATTTCATATTTGGATTTCTCTTTTTTTCAACTTTTCGATATTTTGACTTTTTAATTTTCCGATTTCTTAAATTTTCGAGTTTCGATTTCTCGATTTCTTAATTTTTCAGTTTTTCGAATTTTAAATTTTAGATTTTCGAAAAAATTTTTTTTATTTTTTGGCTTTTCAACTTCTGAACTCTTCACTTTTTCGATTGTTTCATTTTTCGTTCCTTCAGTTTTTCTTTTCTTCAAGTTTTTCATTTTTAATTTTTTAGTTTTTCAATTTCAAATTCTTTTGTTATACTTTTGTTCATTTTTCCGTGTCGCAATTTGGCGATTTTACAACTTTTCGATTTTCAGTGTGTCGATTTCGTTTTTGCAATTTGTCGATTTCAATTTTAAAATATTTCGTTTCTTCGTTTTTTTCGTTTTGCAATATTCACCTTTTCATCTTGTATTTTTTTTTTCGTTTTTCGTTTTCTTCAATTGCTCGGTTTTACTTATTTTTCATTTTTTCGATTTGCAATTCTCCATTTTCCAATTTTTCGATATTTTAATTTTTCAATGCTTTAAACTTTAGATTTTTCGATTTTTCAGTTTTTCAATGCTTTTTAATTTTTTAAAATTTTGTCGTTTCTGAATTTTCAGTTTTCTAATTTCTCAGTTAATCTATTTTTCGATTTTCCCATTTCTCAACTTCCCAAAGTTGCGATTTTTCAGTTCTTCAGTTCTTCAATTTTTCGATTTTTCCCGTTTTTTGGTTTGCGATTTTCCGACTTGGCTTTTTTGACTTTTCGATTTCCCAATTTTACAATTTTTTAATTTCCAATTTTTGGGTATTTGTTCAATTTTGTGATTTTTCAGTTTTTCGATTCTTCAATTATTCTTCTATTTTTCAATTTTTCGGTATTTAAGTTTTCTGGATTTTAAGTTTTTTGGATTTCTCAACTTTCTACTTTTTGGATTTCCAATTTTTCGTTTTTAAACTTTAGGTTTTTCAATTTGTCGACTGTTTTGTAATTTGATTTCTCAGTTGTTCAACTTTTCGATATTTTAACTTGAATTTTTAAAATGTTAGATTTCTCGATTACTTGAGTTTTCAATTCTTCTATATTTCAATTTGTCAATTTTCGGAATTTTTCAATTTTCTACTTTCCATTTTTTTTTAAATTTTTCCATTCCCCAATTTTTCGATGTTGAGAAATGATGTAAATAAGCCAAAATCGAAAAATCGAAAACTTAAAAAATGGAAAAATTGATAAATCGATAGATTGAACAATCAAAATATCGAAACATCCGAAATCGGAAAATTGAAAATTTAAAATATAGATGAATTGAAAATTCGAGAAATCGAAACATATAGAATTTTAAAAATTGAAACATTAAAATATCGAAAAGTTGAATAACTGAGAAATCGTAATAGAAAACAGTCGAACAATCCAAAAAAAAATCGAAAAATCAGAAAATGCAGAAGTCGAAAAATCCCAAAACTGAAAGACATGTCCAAAAATTGAGAAATTAAAAAATTGGGAAATTGAGAAATAGAAAAATCAAAAAAGCAAAGTCAAAAAATTGAAAAATCGAAAAATTGAAGACCTGAAAAATCTAAACGAAACGGGAAAATGAAAAATAGATTAATTAAGAAATCCGAAAACTGAAAATTTGGCAACGTCAAAATTTGAAAAATTGAAAAATATAAATACTGAACAACTGAAAAATCAAAAAATCTAGAAATCCAAATACCACAAAATCAAAAAATAAAAATTCGAAAATCTAAAATTTAAAAATCGAAAAACTTTTCGATTTCCCAATTTTCCAATTTTTTAATTTTCCAATTTTTGGATATTTCGTTCATTTTGTGATTTTTCAGTTTTTCGATTCTTCAATTTTACTTCTATTTTTTCGATTTTTCGCTATTTAAGTTTTGAGATTTTTTACGATTTCGACTTTCCGATTTTTCGAGTTCTGGATTTTTCGATTCCTCTTTGGATTTTCAATTTTTAGTTTTAAACTTTAGATTTTTTAATTCTTTGATTGTTTTGTACTTCCATTTCTCAATTTTTCAGCTAATCGAAAACAAAAACTCGGGAAATCGAAAAGTTTTTGGATTTTTAAATTTTAGATTTTCGAATTTTTATTTTTTGATTTTGTGGTATTTGGATTTCTATATTTTTTGATTTTTCAGTTGTTCAGTGTTTATATTTTTCAATTTTTCAAATTTTGACGTTGCCAATTTTTCAATTTTCCATTATCAATTTTTCGATTTTTCAATTATCGGATTGTTCAATTTACAATTATTAAAGAATTAATTCTTAGTTAAAAAAAAAAAAACAGCATCCAGTGAAACATCATTTTCGGTTTGGTTGTTCCAAAGAAGCTCGAGGATCTCTTTTGTTCTGTTTTTGAAGTAATTTCAAGAATTTTGTAAATTTCTTGACTAGTTTTTTTACTTTTGTTTTGAACTATTTTCAAAAATCAGTTTTGTTTCGCTTTGAAGAAGTCTAAAATAAGCTCAGATACCTCTTGTGTTTTGTTTTTAAGATTGTTTGAAACAATTTTGAAGATCTCCTGTGCCGGGTTTTTGGAGTAGTTTGAAAGGATTTCGGAGATCCTTTGAAACTTTTGAAAGAACCTCGGAGAGCTCGTGTGTCTGCCCCTTTCAATGGTTTGAAAGAATTTCGGGAACCACTTTGAGATTACAGTTGCTAGAATAAATTTTAAAAATACGGAATTTATTCCGTTGGAGAAACAGGAGTTGTTTGGTGACGTTAATTTTTGGGCTAGTTGTGGAGGACTCGTTGGTCGTTTCACAGGATTGTCTGTTGCGTCCTGTGTGGAAATTGTATATTATTTCTTTTTTCGTTGTTTAATGTTTAATTTAAGGAGACGGCTATTCCAGCAGTTGAATTTAAATAGGTTTATGTTTTTGATTCTGGTACTTTATATTTTACCAATAAAATTAGAATTTATGTCAGACGAGACGTGTTTTGCTTTTATTTGTGGTTTCATTGTTTACAGATATAGTCTTCTGCATAATTTGCGTCTATTATTAGTACCCAACTTGTATATTTGCGTGAATTAATAAAGTAATAGTTAATGGTAATTTTCCCTAATTAGTCATGTTCAGTAAACGCAGTTTAATATCTGTAAAAGCCTCAACTATCTTATATGTAAACTGTGGTGTGTGCATTATTGAAACATTAATAAATAAACAAATTAGCGTATGCACTGTGTCACCAAAGCAAGGTTTCTTGATGCGTAAATCTCCTAATCGAGTGAGAATGTCGTCTGTAACAATCACTATACCAGAAGAAAATAACAAAGAAGAAAAGAAAATTAGCAAAAAGTCTGCATTTTTGAGTCGCATTTCCGGAAATGTCTCCCTATTCATGAATAACAACAGCATTCATGGACTGGTGTACTTAAAAAAGAGAGATTTTATTTAGTTGATGGGAGACATATTTTGTGTAGATTGTGGGCTCTAGTTTTATCTATATCAATCTACACGTGTTCGGTCTTGGTTAAGTCAATTTTGCGAAAATGGGAAGAAAATTCTACTATTATAAGCTTTAGTTAGACATTGTACATCCGTGGGAAATACCGTTTCCAGCTCTTACTATTCGTCTTGGTTATAGTAATTTTTTAATAATAAAAAATCAAATTATATGTACACTTCGCTACTTCGTCAACCGTGAAAGGTCGTCATAAGTAGCCACAAACAAATTTTGAATAATTCTTTTAATTGTAGTCTGAATGTGGGAAAAGTTTCAGCTTTTTGTAAAGATAGGAAAATGATTTCGAAAATTGTTTTAGTAAATACGATATAATAGTAGTATGTTACTAGAAGAAAAATATCACTATTTTATTATTTTTGTAAGCACTGTGAAGATTTAGCAATAAAATATTTGGAGTAAACGTTATTATTACAGTTATTTATTTTTGTAATTACTGTGTAATGCAAAATTCTAAATATATATTTAAATGGTAAGTGAATTTTAGTTGCAAATTTAGAACATTATTATTTTTTAATTGGTGTTAGAAATTGTGTCAACAAGATTAAAATTTCTGATATTAAAGTGCGAAACAAAAAACGCGAATGTAACTAGGAGGGGTAAATGTGCAATCATATTGTTGAAACATGCGAATGTTACCGAAGCGCATTTCATTTAACTAACAGAAAGCAGTCAGGCGGTGCTAAAATGACTACACCAGAAGGGAAAGACCGAGCCAAAATCGAAAAAAAAAATTCTTCTTTGGGACGTATATGGAAGCAGGTTTCAGAATTTATGGATCATAGCAGCATTCATGGATTTAAATATATAACTGGAAGTAATCGAACAATCTTCGAAAAGTAAGTCAATTTCGTGGTTGCTTAAATTATGCTACTGTTTTCTCGTAGAAGTCTCTGGTTTTTAGTACTGTCTGTGTCGGTCTATACGTGTTCGATATTGATTAAGTCGACGTGGCAAAAATGGGAGGAAAATCCCACTTTCGTGTCTTTTAGTCAGACTCCTGTGCGTGTATGGGAAATTCCATTCCCAGCAGTTACTATTTGCTTTGATTATGCGTATAACAAACAGTCAAATTATACGTTCTCGTGCACCACCGACGGAAAAGAGTTGAGTTAAGTAAAAATAGTTTTCCGTTTTTTTAAATTGTATTTTAGCTGGCACGTAGGTACTGCCTCAGAGGCCTGTGAAGCCTATGGACACTACAAGTTTTTTAACGAATTTGGCTTGAAGGAATTTTCTGAGGGACCAAAATGGGAAGAGTTTACTATGCGGGTAAAAACTACACCCGTTCAAGGACGAAGTTTCACAGTAATTTTTTTTTAACTTTCTAGACAGCAATACTCCCCCAACAATTTCTACATTTCGTGTCATTTCAGTTAAAATCAGTACTATTCTCTCCGATTCGAACAAGATTAGGAGTCTGCTATTCCTTCAATACGCTGGACAAAACGAATCTTCTGAGTAGCGCCAGGTAAGAAATGTTATTTTTCGGAAACCTGTACCACCAAGTTATAATCTTTTAGCTACGTACCAAGTTTCTTTGGAAACCAGGACAATGTCTCTTGTTGGAGCTATGACAAAAATTATTGTAAAACAAATAAATCTGTTTATCCTCACAGAGCGAGAACTATGGACGACGTACTGACTATAGGTCTAAATTCTCGATTGGAAGAACTAGGATGTTATGGTGAAAATTATTATTACATCCAGTTACATCATCCGGGAGAAATTCCGAACCCGCAGGATATAATCCCCATAGAAATTCAAAGAGATTATTTAATTTTTATTAAGCCTGAAATAATCATCGCATCGGAACATCTTAAAACTTACTCTCCTTACAGAAAGAAATGTTTCTTTTCAGATGAACGCTATTTAAAATTTTACAAATTTTACACACAAACAAATTGTAAGTTAGAATGTCGAGCTAATTACACACTCAGAAATTGTGGCTGCGTCCCTCAGGAATTACCACGTAAGTATCCCGTAAAATTTCCTAATACCACAAGTTATGACATTCTAGATAACAAAATGACTAAACTTTGCGCAAGATCTAACCTAACAACATATTATTGTCTCACCAAATCTGATGGTGAATCACCGATTGTAAAAAATTTAAATAAACTTCGATTTTTTTAGGAATAATGGATGAGACAGAATCTGGACTAAGAGAAAATGATTTGAATTTACCCCTCTGCAATTGTTTGCCGTCTTGCAATTCGATACGGTACAACGCAAGAATTAATTGGGTTAATTCTGCTATAACAGGAGTCGGAATAAAATTCGATGATACCTCATTTAACGTCCTGGAGAGACAGGAATTATTCGGAGATGTAGATTTTTGGGCCAGCTGTGGGGGAATTCTGGGACTGTTTTTGGGTTTTTCGATTATATCGCTCGCGGAAATCGGATATTTTTTGTTAGTTCGATGGTTGTGCGCTTGGGTCAAGCGGTTGTGGAAATAAATTCGTCCGGGTTTATTATGCTGGCACTTATTTAAAAATAGCCATGTCCCTAATAAATAGAAATATATAAATGTTGTTTTTAACACTATATGTAAATGTTAAGCTATGATGCACAATATTTCTTGAAAGATTTGAGGTTTTCTTGTTTTAATTACCTTTTAATACCTTAGACGTCAAGATTTTTGGAAAAAGTGAACTTGTCATCTTGTAATTTTGTCAAATAAATGTTATTTAAATGTTAAAAAGCAGCTTATTCCTGAACTTGTGGTTATTGAGACGTAGATATGTCAATTTTTAAATATTTCAATTTTGGGCTTTTTCAATTTTTTCAGTCTTCAAATTTGCGATTTCTCGATTTTTTTGTACTTAGATTTCCCAATTTTTCGATGTTTCAATGATACGATTTCCCAATTTTTGTCCTCTTGAATTTTACGATTTTTAAATATTTCGATTTTTCAATTTTTCAAATTTTGACTGTTCTAAATTTTCAGTTTTCCAATTTCTGAACTAATCTTTTTTTATTTTTAACATTTCTCGACTTCCCAGTTTCGATTTTTTTTTTAATTCTTCAATTTTTCGCTTTTTTTAGTTTTTCAATTTCTTAATTTTCTAGTTTTTTAAGTTCTCAATTTTTCGATATTTATTTCAGTTTTGGGATAGTTCAATGTATCGACTTTTCGACTTTTCGAACTCCTAATTTTTTTATTTCTCAATTTTTTACTTTTTGGATTTTCAATTTCTCGTTAAACTCTAGATTTTCCAATTTTTCAATTTTTCGATATTTCAATTCTTCAACTTTTAATATTCTAGTTTTTTCGACTTCTCGAGTTTTCAGTTTTTCTATATTTCAATTTTTCAGTTTTCCGAATTCTTAAATTTTCGATTTTTCCAATTCTCCCTTTTTAAAATTTTTCGATTTTTCAATTCTTTTGATTTCTCGATTTATCGAATGAGATGTTTCGAAATTTTGATTGGACGATTTCTCAATTTATCAATTTTTTGATTTTTAACTTTTCTTCTTCTTCTTCGATCCTCTGATTTTTCGATTTCTCGATGTCTCAGTTTTTGAATTTTCCGATGTTGCAATTTTTCAGTTCTCCGATTTGTCAGTTTTCCAGTTTTTTGATTTTTGTATTTTAAATTTTCGAATTTTTATTTTTTGATTTTTTGGAGTTTGGGTTTCTCCATTTTTCAAGTTGGGAACATTTTAATTGTAGATTGTTTTAAATTTTAGATTTTTCGATGCTTTGGTTTTTAAATTTCCAGTTCTTCAGTATTGCTATTTTTCAATTTTTCAAATTTTGACGTTGCTAAATTTTTTGATTTTCCCATTTTAATTTCTCGATTTTTGGGTCTTTTTTCAGTATTGGGTTTTTTCAATATTTTGATTCTCCGACTTTTCAATTTTTTGGATTTTCAGTTTTTCATGTTTTTAATTTTGCAAATTTCAATTTGTCGACTGTTTGGATTTATCATAATTTCAACTTTTCGATAATTTTTTAATTTTCTGAATTCTTAAATTTTCGAATTTGGATTTCTAGATTTGTTAATTTTTCAGTTTTTCGAATTTTAAATTTTAGATTTTCGAAAAATATTTTCTTTTGAGTTTTCGACTTTTCAACTTCTGAATTCTTCACGTTTTCGTTTCTTCAATTATTCTGTTTACAATTTTTCGATTTTATATTTTTTCGATATTTGACCTTTTGAATTTTTCATATTTCGTTTCTTCAATTTTTTGATTTGCAATTTTGGTGATTTTACGATTTTTCGTTTTAGGAATTTGAGGACAATTTTTCATTTCAATTTTTACATTTTCGTTAATCCATTATTCCATCTGAAATGTTTCGATTTTACAATTTTTAATTTTTTCACTATATCGTTTTTTCAATTTTTCGAGTTTTTATTGTCTCAATTTTTAATTTATTAATTTTTCAATATTTCGTTTGGTCGATTGCATTTTTTCAAATACATAAATGTACCACTGTCGTATTTTACAATTTTTCATTTCTTCTTCGATTTGTAATTTTTTTGAGTTTTTGCTTTAAAATTTTCCATTTCCATTTTTCGTTTCTTCAGTTTTTCGATTTTTTGATTTTTCGTGCCTCCAGTTTTCCGTTTTTTCAAGTTTTTCATTTTCCGCTTTTTCGATTGTTTAGTTTTTCAATTTCAATTTTTGTTGTTGTTCTTTTGTTCATTTTTTCGAGTCGGAATGGCGATTTTACAACTTTTCAATGATTCTATTTGCAGTTTTTCTATTTTACAATTTTTTCGATTTTTCACTTTTCCGTTTCCGGTATTCAATATTTAAGTATCCTAATTTTTTATTTTCCGGTTTTTCAATTTTTCGTTTTTGCAATTTGTCGATTTCAATTTCACAATGTTTCGTTTCTTCGTTTTTTTCGTTTTGCAATATTCACTTTTTTGTGATTTTTCAGTTTTTCAATTCTTCAATTTTTCTCCTATTTTTCAATTTTTCGGTATTTACGTTTTCGGATTTTTTAATATTTCGACTTTTCGATTTTTTGAGTTCTGGGTTTTTCGATTTCTCGACTTTCTACTTTTTGGATTTCCAATTTTTCGTTTTTAAACTTTAGGTTTTTCAATTTTTCGATTGTTTTGTAATTTGATTTCTCAGTTTTTCAACTTTTCGATATTTTAACTTATTAATTTTTTAAATTTTAGATTTCTCGATTTCTTGAGTTTTCAGCTCTTCTACATTTCAATTTTTCAATTTTAGGAATTTTTCAATTTTTGATTTTCCAATTTATTTCTTAATTTTTCCATTCTCCAATTTTTCGATGTTTCGAAATTATGTAAATAAGCGAAAATCGAAAAATCGAAAACTTAAAAAATGTAAAAATTGATAAATCGATAGATTGAACAATCAAAGTACCGAAACATCCGATTTCCGAAAATTGAAAAATTAAAATATAGATGAAATGCAAATTCGAGAAATCGAAAAATCTAGAATTTTAAAAATTGAAACATTAAAGTATCGAAAAGTTGAATGACTGAGAAATCGTAATATAAAACAGTCGAAAAATTGAAAAATCCAAAGTTTAAGAAACCAAAAGCTGAAAATCCAAAAAAAATCGAAAAATCAAAAAATCCAGAAGTCGAAAAACCGAAAAATCCCAAAACTGAAAGACATGTCCAAAAGTTGTGAAATTGAAAAATTGGAAAATTGAGAAATCGAAAAACCAAAAACGCAAAGTCAAAAATTGAAAAATCGAAAAATTGAAGAACTGAAAAATCGAAACGAAATGGGAAAATGAAAAACAACTTAAGAAATCCGAAAACTGAAAATTTAGCAACGTCAAAATTAGAAAAATTGAAAAAAAGAAATACCTACTTAAAAACTGAAAATTCAAAAAATCGAAAAAAAAAATTCGAAAATCGAAAATTTAAAAGTCGAAAACCTTTCAATCTCCCAATTTTCCAATTTTTTAATTTCCAAATTTTTGGATATTTCGTTCATTTTGTGATTTTTCAGTTTTTCGATTCTTCAATTTTTCTACTATTTTTTCAATTTTTCGCTATTGAAGTTTCGGGATTTTTTATTATTTCGACTTTTTGATTTTTCGAGTCCTGGATTTTTCGATTTCTCGATTTTTACTCCTTGGATTTTCAATTTTTCGTTTTAAACTTTAGGTTTTTCAATTTTTCAGTTCTTCTATATTTCAATTTTTCAATTTTCGATTTTCCAATTTTTCGATTTTTCAATTATCGGATTGTCCAATTTACAATTATTAAAGAATTAATTCTTAGTTAAACAAAAAAAAAACAGCATCCAGTGAAACATCATTTTCGGTTTGGTTGTTCCAAAGAAGCTCGAGAATCCCTTTTGTTCTGTTTTTGAAGTAATTTCAAGAATTTTGTTAATCTCTTGACTAGTTTTTTTACTTTGGTTTTGAAGTATTTTCAAAAATCAGTTTTGTTTCGCTTTGAAGAAGTCTAAAATAAGCTCAGATACCTCTTGTGTTTTGTTTTTAAGATAGTTTGAAACAATTTTGAAGATCTCCTGTGCCGGGTTTTTGGAGTAGTTTGAAAGGATTTCGGAGATCCTTTGAAACTTTTGAAAGAACCTCGGAGAGCTCGTGTGTCTGCCCCTTTCAATGGTTTGAAAGAATTTCGGGAACCACTTTGAGATTACAGTTGCTAGAATAAATTTTAAAAATACGGAATTTATTCCGTTGGAGAAACAGGAGTTGTTTGGTGACGTTAATTTTTGGGCTAGTTGTGGAGGACTCGTTGGTCGTTTCACAGGATTGTCTGTTGCGTCCTGTGTGGAAATTGTATATTATTTCTTTTTTCGTTGTTTAATGTTTAATTTAAGGAGACGGCTATTCCAGCAGTTGAATTTAAATAGGTTTATGTTTTTGATTCTGGTACTTTATATTTTACCAATAAAATTAGAATTTATGTCAGACGAGACGTGTTTTGCTTTTATTTGTGGTTTCATTGTTTACAGATATAGTCTTCTGCATAATTTGCGTCTATTATTAGTACCCAACTTGTATATTTGCGTGCTTTAATAAAGTAATAGTTAATGGTAATTTTCCCTAATTAGTCATGTTCAGTAAACGCAGTTTAATATCTGTAAAAGCCTCAACTACCTTATATGTAAACTGTGGTGTGTGCATTATTGAAACATTAATAAATAAACAAATTAGCGTATGCACTGTGTCACCAAAGCAAGGTTTCTTGATGCGTAAATCTCCTAATCGAGTGAGAATGTCGTCTGTAACAATCACTATACCAGAAGAAAATAAGAAAGAAGAAAAGAAAATTAGCAAAAAGTCTGCATTTTTGAGTCGCATTTCCGGAAATGTCTCCCTATTCATGAATAACAACAGCATTCATGGACTGGTGTACTTAAAAAAGAGAGATTTTATTTAGTTGATGGGAGACATATTTTGTGTAGATTATGGGCTCTAGTTTTATCTATATCAATCTACACGGGGTCGATCTTGGTTAAGTCAATTTTGCGAAAATGGGAAGAAAATTCTACTATTATAAGCTTTAGTCAGACATTGTACATCCGTGGGAAATACAGTTTCCAGCTCTTACTATTCGTCCTGGTTATAGTAATTTTTTAATAATAAAAAATCAAATTATATGTACATTTCGCTACTTCGTCAACCGTGAAAGGTCGTCATAAGTAGCCACAAACAAATTTTGAATAATTCTTTTAATTGTAGTCTGAATGTGGGAAAAGTTTCAGCTTTTTGTAAAGATAGGAAAATGATTTCGAAAATTGTTTTAGTAAATACGATATAGTAGTAGTATGTTACTAGAAGAAAAATATCACTATTTTATTATTTTTGTAAGCACTGTGAAGATTTAGCAATAAAATATTTGGAGTAAACGTTATTATTACAGTTATTTATTTTTGTAATTACTGTGTAATGCAAAATTCTAAATATATATATTTCAATGGTGAGTAAATTTTAGTTGCAAATTTAGAGCATTATTATTTTTTAATTGTGTCAACAAGATTAAAATTTCTGATATTAAAGTGCGAAACAAAAAACGCTAATGTAACTAGGAGGGGTAAATGTGCAATCATATTGTTGAAACATGCGAATGTTACCGAAACGCATTTCATTTAACTAAGAGAACACAGCAGTCGGGCCGTGCTAAAATGACTACACCAGAAGGGGAAGACCGAGCCAAAATCGAAAAAAAAAATTCTTCTTTGGGACCTATATGGAAGCAGGTTTCAGAATTTATGGATCATAGCAGCATTCATGGATTTAAATATTTAACTGGAAGTAATCGAACAATCTTCGAAAAGTAAGTCAATTTCGTGGTTGCTTAAATTATGCTACTGTTTTCTCGTAGAAGTCTCTGGTTTTTAGTACTGTCTGTGTCGGTCTATACGTGTTCGATATTGATTAAGTCGACGTGGCAAAAATGGGAGGAAAATCCCACTTTCGTGTCTTTTAGTCAGACTCCTGTGCGTGTATGGGAAATTCCATTCCCAGCAGTTACTATTTGCTTTGATTATGCGTATAACAAACAGTCAAATTATACGTTCTCGTGCACCCCCGACGGAAAAGAGTTGAGTTAAGTAAAAATAGTTTTCTATTTTTTTAAATTGTATTTTAGCTGGCACGTAGGTACTGCCTCAGAGGCCTGTGAAGCCTATGGACACTACAAGTTTTTTAACGAATTTAGCTTGAAGGAATTTTCTGAGGGACCAAAATGGGAAGAGTTTACTATTCGGGTAAAAACTACACCCGTTCAAGGACGAAGTTTCACATTAATTTTTTTTTAACTTTCTAGACAGCAATACTCCCCCAACAATTTCTACATTTCGTGTCATTTCAGTTAAAATCAGTACTATTCTCTCCGACTCTAACAAGATTAGGAGTCTGCTATTCCTTCAATACGCTGGACAAAACGAATCTTCTGAGTAACGCCAGGTAAGAAATGCTATTTTTCGGAAACCTGTACCACCAAGTTATAATCTTTTAGCTACGTACCAAGTTTCTTTGGAAACCAGGACAATGTCTCTTGTTGGAGCTATGACAAAAATTATTGTAAAACAAATAAATCTGTTTATCCTCACAGAGCGAAAACTATGGACGACGTACTGACTATAGGTCTAAATTCTCGATTGGAAGAACTAGGATGTTATGGTGAAAATTATTATTACATCCAGTTACATCATCCGGGAGAAATTCCGAACCCGCAGGATATAATCCCCATAGAAATTCAAAGAGATTATTTAATTTTTATTAAGCCTGAAATAATCATCGCATCGGAACATCTTAAAACTTACTCTCCTTACAGAAAAAAATGTTTCTTTTCAGATGAACGCTATTTAAAATTTTACAAATTTTACACACAAGCAAATTGTAAGTTAGAATGTCGAGCTAATTACACACTCAGAAATTGTGGCTGCGTCCCTCACGAATTACCACGTAAGTATCCCGTAAAATTTCCTAATACCACAAGTTATGACATTCTAGATAACAAAACGACTAAACTTTGCGCAAGATCTAACCTCACAACATATCATTGTCTCACCAAATCTGATGGTGAATCACCGATTGTAAAAAATTTAAATAAACTTCGATTTTTTTAGGAATAATGGATGAGACAGAATCTGGACTAAGAGAAAATGATTTGAATTTACCCCTCTGCAATTGTTTGCCGTCTTGCAATTCGATACGGTACAACGCAAGAATTAATTGGGTTAATTCTGCTATAACACGAGTCGGAATAAAATTCGATGATACCTCATTTGACGTCCTGGAGAGGCAGGAATTATTCGGAGATGTAGATTTTTGGGCCAGCTGCGGGGGAATTCTGGGACTGTTTTTGGGTTTTTCGATTATATCGCTCGCGGAAATCGGATATTTTTTGTTAGTTCGATGGTTGTGTGCTTGGGTCAGACGGTTGTGGAATAAATTGTCACTTTTTAAAAAATAATTATGTCTTGTTTTATATTACTTAAATAATAATTATTCTTTTTAGTGAAAATAAATGTAATTTTGTAGGATAAAGTGATCGCTTTGTTGACAACAACTTTTTTAATGCTGTAGATGGAATTAATTAATGAATAGAAATATGTAAATGTTAGCTTATAATGCACAAATATAAGATTCCATTTCTTGAAAGATTTGAGGTTTTCATCTTTTAATACTTTAATAGGAGATAATGAGTTCTACTGTAGGTATAAATTATATTCAAATGAACGTTGAAATTCATACAGTAGTTAAGTTCAGCAACTAAGTTTGAAGTAATTTGAAAGGGTCTCAGAGATTTTCTCTGAAATTTGAAAGAATCTAGGGCACACTTTGAACTAGAAATTCGCCTCTCTTCAAAAAAGATTTTCACGAAACCAATAGTGAGCAAAATTTTTCCTTTTTCGCGATTTATATTAACGGTGAAAGTCACCACAGCGTCATTTTTTTTAATTGTTATTTAAGAAGATCGTCGCCTGAGAACTTGTTTGATCTACAGACCAGGGCGCACTCAGGCCACTATCGGCTCTAAGCGATTTGTCTATAAGTCGACTTTCGTTAGAACTGATCTGATACACATCCACTACGGAGAACTAATGTCCCAAACGACACAATCTACATTTCAAATTCTACGTATTATCAAATGCCAAAACGCTTATTATGTTTATGAGTCCGTGTTGAGTCTTTACCTTAAACGTCAATATTTTTCCAATTTATAGTTATTAGAAGCATGTTAAATCGTTAAATTTATCCATTCATGATTCCAGGAATTGATGATGTCACTTTTGTCAATTTTGTCGAATAAATGTTATTTAAATGTTAAAAAGTAACAGTCTTGAGATTTTTCGGTTTTTAGATTTCTCGATTCTCCAACTGTGGCTATGGCTCGATCTTTCAATATTTCAATTTTTTTATTTTTAGATTTCTTAATTTTCCGATGTTTCAATGATACGATTTCTCAATTTTTATCCTCTTCAATTTTACAATTTTCAAAAATTTGATTTTTAATTTTTCAAATTTTGATGTTTTTAAATTTCCAGTTTTCCAATTTCTGAACTATCTTTTTTTTCCAATTTCTCGACCACCCAAATTTTCGATTTTTTCAACTCTTCAATTTTTCGATTTTTTTAAGCTTACTATTTTTCGACTTTGCTTTTCCAGGTTTTCAATTTCTCAATTTTACAATTTTTTATTTTCTCAAGTTTTTTGGATATTTTTTCAGCTTTGGGAAATTTCAACATATCGATTTTTCGACTTCTCGATTTTTGGATTTTTTGATTGCTCGATTTTATACTTTGTGGATTTTCAGTTTTTCGTTAAACTGTAGATTTTTCAATTTTTTGACTGTTTTATACTTCGATTTCTCAATTTTTTATCTTTTTCATATTTTAATTTTTCAATTTGTAAAATTCTAGGTTTTTTCGAGATCTCGATGTCTCAGAGTTTGAATTTTTCGATGTTGCGATTTTTCAGTTCTCCGAGTTTTCAATTTTTCAAATATATAACTCTGGAGTTTCGATTTCTCGATTTGTCCATTTTCCAGCTTTTCGATTTTTATATTTTAGTTTTTCGAGTTTTTGTTTTTTGACATTTTGAATTTCTTCATTTTTCAATTTGGTGATATTTTAATTGTTTAGTGTTTTAAATTTTAGATTTTTCGTTGTCTCGAACTTTTAATTTTCCAGTTCTTCAGTATTGCTATTTTTCAATTTTTCAAATTTTGACGTTGCTAAATTTTCAGTTTTCCGATTTCTTAATTAATCTATTTTTGATTTTCCCATTTCTGGACTTCTCGAAATTTCGATTTTTCAGCTGTTTTGTCGATTTCTCATTTTTTCAACTTTTCGATTTTTTAATTTTTTAATTTACCGAATTTGTTAATTTTTCAGTTTTTCGAATTTTAAATCTTAGATTTTCGAAAAAATTTTTTTTTTATTTGTAATTTTTCGACTTTATATTTTTTTGATATTTCACCTTCTCAATTTTTCATATTTCGTTTCTTCAATTTTTTGATTTGCAATTTTGGGGATTTTACAATTTTTCGTTTCAATTTCTAGTTTTTTCAATTTTTCGTTTCTTTAATTTTTCGTTGCACAATTTTTTTATTTTCAATCTTAAAATTTTTTACTTTTCAGCTTTTGCAATTTTACAATTTTTCGATTTTTGAACTTTTGAATTTTTTACATTTTCATTAATTGATTATTCGATGTTTCGATTTTACAATTTTTAATTTTTTCAGTGTATCGTTTTTTCAATTTTTCAGGTATTTATTTTCTCAATTTTTAATTTAGCAATTTTTCAATATTTCGTTTCGTCGATTGCATTTTTTTCAAATACATAAATGTACCATTTTTCATTTCTTCTCCGATTTGTAATTTTTTTGAGTTTTCACTTTAAAATTTTTCCATTCGTCGTTTCTTCAAATTTTCATTTTTTACTTTTGAATTTTTCACTTTATCGTTTCTTCAGTTTTTGATTGTTTCATTTTTCGTTCCTCCAGTTTTCCGTTTTTTCAAGTTTTTCATTTTCCTCTTTTTCGATTTTTTAAATTTTCAAACTGAAAATCTTTTGTTTATTTTTCCGTGTCGCAGTTTGGCGATTTTACGACTTTTCCATTTTCAATTCAAATTTTTCGCTTTTCCGTTTCTTCAATTTTTTGATTTGCAATTTTTAATTTTACAATACCTCAATTTTTCAACAAATCATTTTTCACGTTTCCGTTTTTTCAATGATTCGAGTTTTTGCAGTTTTTCTATTTTACAATTTTTTTCGATTTTTCAACTTTTGAATTTTTCACTTTTCCGTTTCCCGATGTTTCGATTTTCAAGTATCCTAATTTTTAATTTTTCAGTTTTTCAACTTTTCGCTTTTGCAATTTGTCGATTTCAATTTTACAATTTTTCCTTTCTTCGTTTTTTTCGTTTTTTATTTACTTTTTCATCTTGTATTTTTTTTTCTTTTTCGTTTTCTTCAATTATTCGGTTTTACTAATTTTTCATTTTTTCGATTTGCAATTCTCCATTTTCCAATTTTTCGATATTTTAATTTTTCAATGTTTTAAACTTTAGATTTTTCGATTTTCAGTTTTTCAGTGACTTTTAATTTTTCAAATTTTGACGTTTCTGAATCTTCAGTTTTCTAATTTCTCAATTAACCTATTTTTCGATTTTTCCATTTCTCGACTTCCCAAAATTTCGATTGTTCATTTCTTCAGTTGTTCAGTTTTTCGATTTTTCAGATTTTTCGTTTTTTTTTTAAGTTTGCGATTTTCGGACTTTGTTTTTTGACTTTTCGATTTCTCAATTTTCCATTTTTCATTCCCAATTTTTGGCTATTTCGTTAAATTTTGTGATTTTTCAGTTTTTGGATTCTTCAATTTTTCTTCTATTTTTCAATTTTTCGGTATTTAAGTTTTGGGATTTTTTAATATTTCGACTTTTCGATTTTTCGAGTTCTGGATTTTTCGATTTTTCGACTTTCTACTTTTTGGATTTCCAATTTTTCGTTTTTAAACTTTAGGTTTTTCAATTTTTCGGTTCTTTTGTAATTTGATTTCTCAGTTTTTCAACTTTTCGATATTTTAACTTATTAATTTTTAAAATTTTAAATTTCTCGATTTCTTGAGTTTTCAGGTCTTCTATATTTCAATTTTTCAATATTCCGAATTTTTCAATTTTCGATTTACCAATTTATTTTTTTAATTTTTCCAATCTCCAATTTTTCGATGTTTCGAAATTATGTAAATAAGCTAAAATCGAAAAATCGAAAACTTAAAAAATGGAAAAATTGATAAATCGATAGATTGAACAATCAAAATATCGAAACATCTGAATTCGGAAAATTGAAAAATTAAAATATAGATGAATTGATAATTCAAGAAATCGAAAAATCTAGAATTTTAAAAACTGAAATATTAAAATATCGAAAAGTTGAATAACTGAGAAATCGTAACAGTCGAAAAAATAAAAAATCCAAAGTTTAAGAAACCAAAGGCTGAAAATCCAAAAAAACTCGAAAAATCAAAAAATCCAGAAGTCGAAAAGTCGGAAAATGAAAAAATCGAAATATTGAAAAATCCCAAAACTGAAGGATATGTCGAAAAATTGAGAAATTAAAAAATTGGAAAATTGGGAAATCGAAAAACCAAAAACGCAAACTCAAAAAATTGAAAAATCGAAAACTTGAAGACCTGAAAAATCGAAACGAAATGGGAAAATGAAAAATAGATGAATTAAGAAATCCGAAAACTGAACATTTAGCGACGTCATAATTTGAAAAATTGAAAAATAGAATTACTGAAGAACTGAAAAATCAAAAAATTGAGAAATCCAAATATCACAAAATCAAAAAATAAAAATTCGAAAATCTAAAATTTAAAAATCGAAAAACTTCGATTTCCCAATTTTCGAATTTTTGAATTTCCTAGTTTTTTGATATATCGTTCTTCTTGTGATTTTTCAGTTTTTCGATTCTTCAATTTTTCGCTATTTAAGTTTTGGGATTTTTTACTACTTCGACTTTTCAATTTTTCAAGTTCTGGATTTTTCGATTTCTCGTCTTTCTACTTTTTGGATTTTCAATTTTTCGTTTTTAAACTTTAGGTTTTTCAATTTTTCGACTGTTTTGTACTTCCATTTCTCGAATTTTCAACTAATTGATATTTTAACTCTTCGATTTCTAAAATTTTAAGTTTTTCGATTTCTCGAGTTTTCAGTTCAACTATATTTCAATTTTTCAATTTTCGGAATTTTTCAATTTTCGATTTTCCAATTTATTTTTTTATTTTTCCATTCTCCAATTTTTCGATGTTTCGAAATTATGCAAATAAGCCAAAATCGAAAAATCGAAAACTTAAAAAATGGAAAATTGATAAATCGATAGATTGAACAATCAAAATATCGAAACATCCGAATTCGGAAAATTGAAAAATTAAAATACGTATAGATGAATTGAAAATTCGAGAAATCGAAAAATCTAGAATTTTTAAAATTGAAACATTAAAATATCGAAAAGTTGAATAACTGAGAAATCGTAATAGAAAACAGTCGAAAAATTAAAAAATTAAAGTTTCAGAAACCAAAAGCTGAAAATCCAAAAAAAAGTCGAAAAATCAAAAAATCCAGAAGCCGAAAAATCGAAAAATCCCAAAACTGAAAGACATGTCCAAAAATTGAGAAATTAAAAAATTGGAAAATTGAGAAATCGAAAAACCAAAAACGCAAAGCCAAAAATTGAAAAATCGAAAAATTGAAGACCTGAAAAATCGAAACGAAATGGGAGAGTGAAAAATAGATTAATTAAGAAATCCGAAAACTGAAAATTTAGCAACGTCAAAATTAGAAAAACTGAAAAATAGAAATACTGAAGAGCTGAAAAATCAAAAAATCGAGAAATCCAAATACCACAAAATCAAAAAATAAAAATTCGAAAATATGAAATTTAAAAATCGAAAAACTTTTCGATTTCCCAAGTTTCGAATTTTTTAATTTCCCAGTTTTTTGATATTTCGTTCATCTTGTGATTTTTCAGTTTTTCGATTCTTCAATTCTTCGCTATTTAAGTTTTGGGATTTTTGTACCATTTCGACTTTTCAATTTTTCGGGTTCTGGATTTTTCGATTTCTCGTCTTTCTACTTTTTGGATTTTCAATTTTTCGTTTTTAAACTTTAGGTTTTTCAATTTTTCGACTGTTTTGTACTTCCATTTCTCAAATTTTCAACTAATTGATATTTTAACTCTTCGATTTCTAAAATTTTAAGTTTTTCGATTTCTCAAGTTTTCAGTTCTACTATATTTCAATTTTTCAATTTTCGATTTTCCAATTTATTTTTTAATTTTTCCAATCTCCAATTTTTCGATGTTTCGAAATTATGTAAATAAGCCAAAATCGAAAAATCGAAAACTTAAAAAATGGAAAAATTGATAAATCGATAGATTGAACAATCAAAATATCGAAACATTTGAATTCGGAAAATTGAAAAATTAAAATACGTATAGATGAATTGAAAATTCGAGAAATCGAAAAATCTAGAATTTTAAAAATTGAAACATTAAAATATCGAAAAGTTGAATAACTGCGAAATCGTAATAGAAAACAGTCGAAAAATTAAAAAATCCGGAAGTCGAAAAATCGAAAAATCCCAAAATTGAAAGACATGTCGAAAAATTGAGAAATTAAAAAATTGGAAAATTGAGAAATCGAAAAAGAAGACCTGAAAATTCAAAACGAAATGGGAGAATGAAAAATAGATTAATTAAGAAATCCGAAAACTGAAAATTTGGCAACGTCAAAATTAGAAAAATTGAAAAATATAAATACTGATCAACTGAAAAATCAAAAAATCGAGAAATCCAAATACCACAAAATCAAAAAATAAAAATTCGAAAATCTAAAATTTAAAAATCGAAAACCTTTCAATTTCCCAATTTTCCAATTTTTTTCGTTCATTCTGAGATTTTTCGCTATTTAAGTTTTGGGATTTTTTACTATTTCGACTTTTCGATTTTTCGATTTCTCGTTTTTTTTTTCGTTTTTAAACTCTAGGTTTTTCAATTTTTTTCCATTTCTCAAATTTTCATCTAATCGATATTTTAACTTTTCGATTTCTAAAATTTTAGGTTTTTCGATTTCTCGAGTTTTCAGTTCTTCTATATTTCAATTTTTCAATTTTCGAAATTTTTAAATTTTCGATTTTACAATTTTTCGATGTTTTGATTTAGCATTTATCGGACTGTTCAATTTACAATTAAAGAATTAATTCTTAGTTAAATAAAAAAGAAGCTGCATGTCTAAACACTGATTTGAAAGAATTTCGGGAACCACTTTATTTTGGTATTAAAGTATGTAGTTTGAAACAATCTCAGGAAGTCCATTTGTTCTGTATGAACTTGTTTGAAAAAATCTCGGAAACCTTTGTGTCTGATTTTTGAAGTTCTTTGAACGAATCCCGACGACAGCGTTTGTTCTTTAAGCGGTTGGAAAAAATCTCGGAAACTTATATCTGGTTTTGGAGGTAGTTTGGAAAAATCTCGAGAGAAGATAAGCGGCCTCGTGGTCTAGTGGTCAGTATACCTGCCCGGCAAGCGGTTAACTTTTTGCTTATTTTCTTTTCTTCTTTGTTATTTTCTTCTGGTATAGCGATTGTTACAGACGACGTTCTCACTCGATTAATAGATTTGTGCAAAGAGAAACCTGGTTTTGAGGATACAGTGCATACGCGAATGTGTTTATTTTAATATTGCACACACTAAAATTTACATATAGGTGAGGCTTTTAAAAATATTAAACTGCGTTTATTGAACATACATGACAAAAATACAAGTTGATGACTAATAATAGCCGCAAATTATGCAGAACACAATAAAACCACAAATAAAAGCAAAATATTTCTCGTGTGACATAAATTCTAATTTTATTGGTAAAATTCAAAGTACCATAATCAAAAACATTAACCTATTTAAACTCAGCTGCTGGAACAGCCGTCTCCCTAAATTAAACACCCAACGAAAAAAGAAATGATAGACAATTTCCACACAGGACACAACAGACAATCCTATGAAAAGACCAACGAGTCCTCCGCAACTAGCCCAAAAATTAACATCCCCGAACAACTCCTGTTTCTCCAACGGAATAAATTCCGTATTTTTGAAATTTATTCTAGCAACTGTTATCTCCCGTGTTTCTGTAGCTCTGAAACTGACGTCGTATGACACCGAATTGCAAGGAGGTAAACAGTTGCAAGAGGTAACATTCGACCGATTTTTTCTCAATCCGGACTCCGAGTGAAGCATCATTTCTGAAAATTTTCAAAAATTAAAAAAAAAACTTCTGTAATCAGAAACTACCTTCAGCTTGGACCACACAGCGCGAGCCTTTCCGGTTCCGCCCACCACAGAGTTTGGTAGTTTTGTTATCTGTAAATTTCGAATTAAGTATCATAACCAAAAATTAATAAAAAATGTAGTTACGTGGTAAGTAGTACGGAACGCATCCACATTTACTTAGTGTGTAGTTAGCAAGACATTCTCTTTTACAATTTTCCACAGTGTAAATTTTGTAAAAATATAAGTAACGGTCTTCAGGAAAATAGCACTTTTTTCTTTGGGGTGAGTAAGATCTTAAGTTCTCGGAACTAACAACTACTTGTGGAGTGATCAATATTTCGTGAGATTTGTTGGTTTCTAGTTCGAATGCTCGTCGCATGGACGGAGTGTCCGCAGGGTGATGTATCATCATGAAAAATTTGTCAAATCCCAAACATGCCACTTTTTCCAAATAAGATTTTAAACCCACTTCTAATTTCTCGCTGATGGTTTCAGACCTTCTGGGATAAACGTCGTCGTTAGTTTCGTCGTAATTTTTGTCAAACGTCCAGTGAGAAATGTCATCCTGATTTCCAAGTGCATCTGCTATATAGCTGAAAAATTAGTTAAATTTAATACGGCTCGAGTGGCTACTTTTCCGTTACCTAGTGTCACGAAAAAGGTCATTTTTGTCCAACATATTGAAAGAAAAACAAATTCCGTGTTCTGTTATCACCGGAAAAAAAATGTCTGCGCAGCTGTATTTCCAGCCCCATTGACAAAACGCAAATATTTGTTCAGACAGTAAGGCTGTCTGAAAAAAAGTTCAAAATTAAGTACTCAGATCGGACTTGTTTGGTGTTAATTCGTGCTTACCCCAACCAAAAATTCCTCCCATTCGGGTCCTTCGTAATAATCGGCCGCTTCAAATACAGTCTCATGGGGATAAATACCGTTCGCTTCGCTGTCGCAATAAACTGACATTTTTCCCACTTGCCAACTAAAATTAACAAAAGTAAACTAAAAATATCCTTCAGGATTTAGCAACCGACAACCCTTTTTTGCGCACGAGGTACTTAACCGTGACGTTTGATTCTCTGTTATATTCATACTCAGAACAAATGGTAACCGCTGGGAATGGTATTTCCCACATCCGTACAGGTGTTTGGCCAAAACCCACTACGACTGGACACTCCTCCCACTTTTGCCAAGCCGATTTAATCAAAAGCGAACATGTGTAGATTGATACTGACAACACTGCAAGCCATAAACTTCTACAAGAAAAGTGGAACAATATGTGTATTTTCTAAACAGTGGAAAACTCACTTTTCGATTAAAGTTCTCTCTTTTCCAACCAAGTATTTGAGTCCATGGATGCTACTATTTGTCATAAATTCTGAAACATGACTGGAAACGCGGTGCACAAGCCCTGATTTTCTTGGTTTTTCAACTACTTCTACCGTTTTAGCTTCCGACATTCTCACCCGAAAATAACTACTAATTGAGGGGTTCGTCTGTCAACAACCTTTGCATGCTTCAAAAATATAACAGCTAAGTTAATTCAGATAATGAAGTTATCGATTAAAATACATACATATGCATAAAAAGGGGACTTTTGAATATTATTGAAACAAGATAAACATTCCATTAAGTGATTAAAACCGATGAAAAACAAAACAGACAAAGAGGGCTTCTTGTATTTTGTTTTGAAGCAGTTTGAAAGAATCTCGGGGACCTCTTGTGTCTGGTTTTAGAAGTAGTTTCAAAAAATCTGGATCCATTGTCTTGTTTTTAAAGTAAATAATGTGAGGGCATCTCGGGAACGCTTTGTGTTTTGATTTTGAAGTAGAATCTCAGAGTTCCTTGTGTTTGGTTTTTGAAATGATGTGAAATAATCTTGGAGATTTTTCATGCCGAATTTTTTAAGTAGTTTGACAGGATTTCGGCCAGTTTTTGAAAGAATTTGAAGAATTTTTGTCTGATTTTTGGAGTAGTTTGAAAGAATCTGAAGGATACGCTTATTTTGTTTTGAAGCGGTTTTAAAGAAACTCGGGGACCACAGGTGTATGGTTTTTTAATTATTTTGGAGGAATCTCAAAGATCACTTTTGTTTTGGTTTTGAAGTGGTTTGAAAGAATCTCGGACATCATTTTTGTTCTATTTGAAGAAGTCTGAAAGAATCTTCCCAACCAGTTTGTTTTGTTTTTCAAGTGATTTAAAAGAATATCGGAGACCTATTTTATCTGATTTTTGAGTTTGAAAGAATCTTGAGGACTTTCTGTTTCTAATTTTTGCAGTAGTTTGAAAGAATCTCGGGGATCTGTTTATTTTGTTTTTGAGGCGGTTTGAAAGTAACTCGGGGACCACATATATATGATTTTTGAAGTAGTTTGAAGGAATCTCAAGTACCAGTTTTGTTTTTGATTTTTAAGTAGTTTAAAACAATCTCGGACATTTCTTTTATCTTATTTGAAGAAGTTTGGAAGAATATCGGGAACCGGTTGTGTCTGGTTTTTGAAGTAGTTTGAAAGAATCTCGGCAACCACGTTTGCTCTTTTTTTTAAGTGAATTGAGAGAATTTCGAGGACCTATTATGTCCGATTTTTGAAGTAGTTTGAAAGAATTTTGAGGACATTTTGTAACTAGTTTCTGCAGTAGATTGAAAGAATCTTGTTGACAACATGTGTATGTTTTTTAAAGTAGTTGAAGGAATGTCAAGGACTACCTTTGTTTTGGTTTTGAAGTAGTTTTAAAAAATCTCGGACATCAATTTTGTTCTATTTGAAGAAGCCTGAAAAAATCTTCCCAACCAGTTTGTTTTGTTTTTCAAGTGATTTGAAAAAATATCTGATACCTATTTTTGCAGTAGTTTGAAAAAATCTCGGGGATCTGTTTATTTTGTTTTTGAGGCGGTTTGAAAGTAACTCGGGGACCACATATATATGATTTTTGGAGTGGTTTGAAGGAATCTCAAGTACCAGTTTTGTTTTTGATTTTTAAGTAGTTTAAAACAATCTCGGGCATTTCTTTTATCTTGTTTGAAGAAGTTCGGAAGAATATCGGGAACCTGTTATGTCTGGTTTTTGAAGTAGTTTGAAAGAATCTCGGCTACCACGTTTGCTCTTTTTTTTTAAGTGAATTGAGAGAATTTCGGGGACCTATTATGTCCGATTTTTGAAGTAGTTTGAAAGAATTTTGAGGACATTTTGGATCTAGTTTCTGCAGTAGATTGAAAGAATCTTTTTGGCAACATGTGTATGTGTTTTGAAGTAGTTTGAAGAAATGTCAAGGACCACTTTTGTTTTGGTTTTGAACTAGTTTTAAAGAATCTCGGACATCACTTTTGTTCTATTTGGAAAAGTCTGAAAAAATCTCGGAGACTCCTTGTGTCCGGTTTTTGAAATAGTTTGAAAGAATCTCGGTAACCATATTCGTTTTGTTTTTCAAGTGATTTGAAAGAATCTTGGTGATCTATAATATCTGATTTTTTAAGTAGTTTGAAAGAATCTCCGAGACACCGTTTGTTCTGATTTTGAAGTGGTTTGAAAGAATTTCAGGGGCTATTTGTGTCTGGTTTATGATTTTAAAAGAATCTCAAAGAACAATTTTATCTAGTTCTCTCGGGGACCAATTTTGTTTTAATTTTGAATAAGTTGTTTGAAAGAATCTAGGAGAAATTGTGTTGGGTTTTTGAATTATTTTGAAAATATCTCGGGGACTTGTGTCAAGATTTTGAATTAGTTTGAAAGAATCTCAGAGACCAGTTGAATCCACTTTTTGAAAAAAACTTGAGGACCACTGGTGTCTGATTTTTGAAGTAGTTTGAAACAAACTTGGGGACCACTAATGTCCGGTTTGAAAGAACTTTGAAACAATTTCAGGCAAACCTTTACTTTCACTTGTGTTCTGTTTTTGAAGAAGTTTGAAAAAATTCCAGAGATCACATGTGCCTGGTTTTTGAAAGTAAGTCAATTTGTTTTGTTTTTGAAGTAATTTTAAAGAATGTCGAGGAATTTCTGTGTCCGGTTTTTGAAGTAATTTGAAAGAATCTCAGGGACCAGTTGAATCCGCTTTTTGAACTAGTTAGAAAGAATCTCGGGGAATCATTTTGTTTTGTTTTGAAATAGTCTGAAAGAATTCTAAAAATGTCTTGTCTTGTTTTTGAAGTAGTTTGAAGAAATCTCAAGGACCACTTTTGTTTTGGTTTTGAAGTAGTTTGAAAGATCCTCTGCAATCATGTTTGTTTTGTTTTTCAAGTGATTTGAAAGAATCTTGTAGACCTATATCTGATTTTTGAAGTAATTTGAAAGAATTTTGAGGTCCTAAGTTTTGTCTCCGATTTTTGCAGTCGTTTGAAATAATCTCGGGGACCCGCTTGCTTTGTTTTTGAAGCGGTAGCCCCGCCCACCCACCCCTTCTTCTTTCCAGGGACTACTCTTAATATTGTTCAGTTCTAGCTTCTTTTGTAAAGTGAGAATGGGAACCAATAAAACGTAGGCTGTTAAAGAAAGCGTTGATCGTATTTTTTTCTTATACTACCTATTTGCTGTAATATTATTTCTTATTTCTGAAGAAAAAAATGATAGAACGGGTGGGTGGGCGGAGCTAAATTAAACTTTGTCCTACAAAATCTTTAATAAGCAAGCAATAGCAAACTTTTTGTGCCTGGTTTTTGAAGTAGTTTGAAAGAATCTTGGCGACCACGTTTGCTCAGTTTTTTAGTAATTTGAAAGAGTTTCGGAGGCCTAGTATGTCTGGTTTTTGAAATAGTTTGAAAGAATTTTGAAGACTCTTCGTGTCTAGATTTTGCAGTAGTTTGAAAGAATCTCTGGGTGCCCTTGCGTCTGGTATTTGAGGTGGCTTGAAGAAATCTCGGGAACCATTTGTGTCTAGTTTATGAAGCGGTTCGAAAAAATCTCGGGGACCTTTTGTGTCTGGTTTTTGAAGAAGTTTGAAAAAGTCTCCGGGACATCGTTTTTTCTGATTTTGAAGTAGTTGGAAAAAATCTCATGGACAATTTCTGTCTGGTTTATGAAGCACTTTAAAAGAATGTCAAACAACAATTTTGTCTGGTTTTCGAAGTGGTATACCAGATTCTCGGGGACCAATTTTGTTTTGATTTTGGCTAAGTGGTTTGAAAGAATCTAGGAAAAATTTTGTCTGGTTTTCGAATTATTTTGAAAACTTCTTGTGTTAAATTTTGAATTAGTTTGAAAGAATCTCAAAGACCAGTTGCATCCACTTGTTGAAGTAGTTTTTAAGAATCTCGGGGAATACTTGCTTCTGATTTTTGAAGTAGTTTGAAAGAAACTCGAAGACCACTTATGTCCGGTTTTAGAAGAACTTTGAAAGAATTTCAGGCAACCCTTTGCTTTCACTTGTATTCTGTTTTTGAAGGAGTTTGAAAGAATTGCAGGGAACACAAGTGTTTGGTTTTTGTAGGTAAGTAAATTTGTCTTGTTTCTGAAGTGATTTTAAAGAATGTCGAGGAATTCCTGTGTCTGGTTTTTGAAATAATTTGAAGGAATCTCAAGGACTAGTTGTGTCTGCTTTATGAAGTAGTTAGAAAGAATCTCGGGGAAACATTTTGTTTTGTTTTGAAGTAGTCTAAAAGAAGTTTGGAAATTTCTTGTTTTGTTTTTGAAGTAGTTTGAAGAAATCTCAAGGATCACTTTTGTTTTGGTTTTGAAGTAGTTTGAAAGAATCTCTGCAATCACGTTTATTTTGTTTTACAAGTGATTTGAAAAAATCTTTGGGACCTATATCTGATTTTTGAGTAGTTTGGAAAAATTTTGAGGTCCTATTGGCTCCGATTTTTGCAGTGGTTTGAAAGATTCTCGGGGACGCGTTTGTTTTGTTTTTGAAGCCATAGCCCCGCCCACCCACCCCTTCTTTTTTCCAGTGACTACTCTTAATATTGTTTAGTTCTAGTTTATTTTGTAAAGTGGGAATGGGAACCAATGAAACGTAGGCTGTTAAAGAAAGCGTTGATCGTAATTTTTTTGGTATACTACCTATTTGCTATAACATTATTTCTTATATCTGAAGAAAAAAATGTTAGAACGGGTGGGTGGGCGGGGCTAACTTTAACTTTGTCATACAAAATCTTTTATAAGCAAGCAATAACGAAACCTCGGGAACTTTTTGTGTTTGGTTTTTGAAGTAGTTTGAAACAATTTTGAAGACATTTCGTGTCTAGATTTTGCAGTAGTTTGGAAGAATCTCTGGGTGCCCTTGCGTCTGGTTTTTGAGGTTGCTTGAAGAAATCTCGGGAACCTTTTGTGTCTAGTTTATGAAGCGGTTCGAAAAAATCTCGGGGACTTTTTGTGTCTGGTTTTTGAAGAAGTTTGAAAGAGGCTTCGGGACACCGTTTTTTCTAATTTTGAAGTAGTTGGAAAAAATCTCAGGGACA